TAAATATATGAAGCTTACCTTCATTTGAATGGAGTTCTCTTAAGAGGGCCACAATTGGCTACGACAGTTTACGCTGAGCCGGTTAAGCTCGAGCCGAACAATTGAATAAATCAGACATAATCATAACATTGATCATCGCTGATCGATTGAAATGTGTAATTAGCCAAATAATGGGCAGACAATGAGACTCAGTTGCCTTGGCATTGTGACGGCCAGAAGACCAAAATCAAAACAAACACACAAAGCCAGCACTGAAATCAAGTCAACTGTGCGGCTTATTGTGACTGGAAGCGTATCGGCTTATGCATAATAATGTAAGTCAATATGCGCCTGTGTATGTGTGTGTGTGTGTGGATAATGGTGCGTAATAAGCACACAGAGCTCACAATCCAGCTCGCAGATACAGCGATAAATGGAAATCATTATGCGCGCAGCCAACGCGTCGTATGCGTAACCATCAAAAAGAAACGACGCAACGCCCACACGGCCAGAGCAACGCAGTCGCTGTCGTTGTCGCTGCTAATGCGTTAATTGTCAGTTAGCGTGGTTAAATGACTTGTGGATTTATGTGCGTAGCCAAAGGAAAAAAAACTTTTGGCGTGGAGTGGGCGTCATGGAATGGGACGATGGGGCTTTCGTTTGCAACAATAGCAAATTAGCTGCTCGACTACGCACAGTTTTCAAACTCAAGTAGCTTTTCACGTTTTCCGCCCAAAAAAAAAAAACAAAAAGCAACTTCAGCAGCTAATTTTCATTTCGACAAGTTTGTTGCCTAAGTCTTTTGTTTGGTTGTCTGCCCTTCTTCCTATCATTCTCGTCTTTCTCTCTCACCCTCTCTCTCTATCTCTCTCTAACCAATTTGCATTCGCAAAATAAAGTTAGCTGCCCGGAAGTAGTTGCGAGTGAGCGTTGCTTTTACTTTCCTTGCGGCAATTTTTACTCTCTTTTTAAGTGAAGATATAGTACTTGATTCATGAGACTTGGCAATTGGGGCTAATGAAATTTTTGGGCAGGGTAATCAGAGCAGATTGATTGCTCAAGATTAGCTAGATTAGGTAATGAAACATAATTGGCGAATAGATGATACTTGACAGTACAAGACAGCAAAAGAAATTGATACCCTTTTGGGGCATGAGTTATTGTAGGGTATTTTGATTTATAAAAATTAATTTGTTATGGCTTCGAAAGCTTATCCAAATGTAACTTAGCTTAAAATATAACAGGCATAGGTATAATTATATAGTAGATTCCACAGAGCCATTCAGAATCGCTGGCTTAGACATATTAGCCAAATTAAGAGTTCTCAACTAATAAAAACTTCAAAAGCTTAAAGCGCCTTTGGAATTTTCGACTTAAGAAGACAAAATTGATATAAATTAGATTCAAGTAGGTTAGAAAGTTTTATATTATATATTCCAAGAAGAAGAGAAGAATAAAGCATAGCAAAAGTTTTATTAAAATATGAAGAGAGCTAATTCTCTACTAATAATTTCATGTCTATAACCTTTCCCCTTGTAGAGTACCTAATTTGCCTGCATATAAACAGAAATAGTTCCCGAAAAATAAAACAACGCCCACACTGCCAGCATCAGTTAGAAAGCGGCTCTTTCAATGGCTCTATATTTTGGCCTACAATCTTTCATCTAATTGCTCTGAGCGTATTCCTCTCACTGCCCCATAAAGCCGTTAATGAGGAGCAATTTATAAAAATAATATGCAAAAAAGAAAAGAAAAAAAAGAAAGAGAAACAAAAATCTACTTATATAGAAAGGCAGTCAACAAATTGTATGGCGCCAATTTGGCCAAAAAGCCCTTGGGCCCAGTCGCACACTCGAAAGTATTTTAGCAGCTGAATTGGGCTCAAATAATTGAGGTAGTCCAGAGTGGACCATGTGAGTAGTGTGATTTACATAACCGCCCAACACGCACACGCTCTAGCTCGATGTGAGTCTGTGGGCCGCTTAATCTGCATAATGTCTTGTAGCCATTTGTAATTAAAAATTTACGATGTCGTTAATAAATTAAAAATGAAAAAATGAAAAAAAAAAAAGGTGCGCGACAGTTTACAATGCATACGGCATCAAGTGGGCTAATTAAAACTGCAGCAGAACAGAAATGCGGGCCAAAACACGCCGACAATTGTCAGCTAACGAAGGAAGTGGCATGCAAAGTTGCCTCAAGAGCACAACAAAAAAAAAATATATAATAAAAATTAAAAAACAAAATTTGGTGCTTGTTTCTTGGCTGCGATAAGTGGCCGGCGGACACTAACAGTTCATAAATATGGCCAAAACACTTGGCCAGCGCTGGCTGCAACGTTGACAACAAGAGCATAGACAACAAGTGCCTTGATTCTTGGCAGTTGGCAGCTGAATTAGAAATACAGAAATCGAGAAATACAGATATACATATACCAGGTATATATATACATATATATATATAGTGAAGTGCTGATGTGTGCTATGTTGTACGTGAGCCATTTGGTGTGGGGGTCGCTCTTGTTGCTTTGAACTTATTTCCACAAGGTCGTTAGCCAAGACATGTCAGCCAACAGCCCGGGCTAACAACAACAAATTAAGCCATAAATGCTTGTTGCACATGAAAATTGCTTTTTATTTACTGCGACTGCTGCTGCTGCTGCGGCTGCTGCTGCTGCTGTTGGTGCGTTTGCGTTGCCTTTGCCTTTGCGTGTCAACACGTTTCGCGGTCAACAGTCAGCAGACAGCCCGTTGGCACGCCCACTTTTCAAATGGTCAGACAGGCTCAGTGATTTGATTAATCGCCTGAAAATAATTTGCAAATATTTGCAAAGAAATTCGCACTCACACAATTGTCAAATCTTCTTCGAATATGGTATTATTTTATTTTTAAAATTTAGCCAACATTTGGAAGCTAAAGAAGAAGAGAACAGACAGAAAAGCAAAATTTAATTTTTTTACTTAAACTAGAAATTAACAAAAAAAAAAAAAATTAGTTAAATATTTTTTTAATATAAATATAATATAATATTTTATAATATTCAAAAATATATTATATTTATTGGCCATTTATACATAATTGCAATTTTATAATACTCAAAATTTTATATTATATTCACTAGCAATTTATATATAATATGCAATTTTGTAATATTCAAATATATTTTATATTAAAATTATTTGCATTTTATATGTAATTTGCAATTTTTTAATATTCAATAATATTTTGATAAAAAATGTATTTAAAATTTACATATAATCTGAAATTTCATAATATTCAAATATATTTTATATTATATTTATTTGCAATCTATATATAATTTTCAATTTTATAAGATTTATAAGATTTATATATAATTTGAAATTTTAGAATATTCAAATATATTTTATATTACATTTATTTGCAGTTCTATAATATCAAAATAAATTTGTCATTATATTTATTTACATTTTCTATGTAAACTTTTTTTTTTTTTTTTAATATTCAAATAAATTTTGTATTATGTTTATATTATATTCAAAAAACTTTTGATTGCTTTTATTCCTGATTATTATTATTATTATTATTATATTATATATAAAATTTATACCATATAAATATACATTTCATAAAGTTTGTTTTTCCATTTTTTCTCACGCTCCAAAAAGCTTTCCATATTTATTTTTTGGCAATTTTTTGTTAATATATGCCATGCCATAGCATTTGATTGGCCGTTGCGTGCAAATGTTATTATATTCAATTAAATATTTGTATATATGAATATATATCAATTTGTAAACCACATCTTCCGTTCCTGTCCGATTGTTCGCTTATTTATGGCCTATGCGGTTGCTCCGCCGCTTTCATCGCATGTGGGCAAATTTGTGGCCAGTGGCTATTTGGTCACTTTGCAGTGACTTTGATTTTGGCACTTGGCTTAGTTTTATGGCATTTTACGAGCACAAATATATATTGATATATACATATATATATATATAGATGTATATTTGTGCTGAGGCCAGTTATGAAAATGATTTATGCTTGTAATTTGATAGAGCGCCGCGGACAAGTTTTGTGGGTCCGAATGCGCTATACGATACGCAGTCAATGCCAAATGCTGATGTCAAGTGTCAGATTACATTTATTTCGATATTTATTACAGAATTAATGGGCAGGCGCAGCCGGCAATTAATTTAATTAGTCGCACACACACACAGACACACATTTGATTTCTGCGTGTCGCATAAGCAAATTTGAAATACCTTAAATGCTATGCTAATTCAAATCAAATGCATTACTCAAATTTGGCAAAAAAAAAAAAAATGAATAAATAAAGCAGCAATTACCTTGAGTCTTAAATCAACTACAATGCGAATGTCGATGTCGATGTCAAAGGATTTGCCAAAGAACTCGGCTCAACTGAAACCAGATCAGCAGCCTCCGTTGCCAGTTGGCCAAATGTCAAATGCTTAAGCTTTAGCCAAAGCTACAGCTACAGCTACAGCTACAGCGCGGCTTTTTCATGGTCAGCCTGAGCGCAGGCAAACAGCACGGCACACACGGCGTATGAGTGACGTGCATGTTGAGGCGTCACATTTGCTGACCAACTGCATAAATCAAAAAGCCCCGCTGCCGCATATCCCACGCAGCCAACAGCCAACTTTGCTCTTGCCCCTCTCTCCCCTCCCCTCTCTCTCTCCCGCTCTCTGCATCTCTTAATCTCTTAGTCTGGGTCTCTATCCATTGTCGCCGTCTCCTTCTTTAGCTGCTGGCGCATTTAATTAATATACAGCTGCCTGACCACACGGCTTTGGCTTTGGCTTTGACTGGCGACCAGCAGCAAAACAGAATAACAGACCAGCACAAATGATTTTTCTTTGCTTATTTATTTTTTTTTTTCTTTATAAAAAATTGCTTTACATTTAGTGGATTTATTTTTTTGGTATGCTTGGAATGCGAGCAACAAAAAAATTGATTTGTTTGTTAATTGAAAGCTGCAAGGCAAAGTATAACAATATAACCTCTCTTCTCTTCTCTTGCAGCATCACAAGCATGAGATTGGTGAAGTCTTCCAAGATGAGCAGAACATGGCAGCGATCTTAATGCGCCGCCATATGGAAACTGGCGATTTGATAATGGTAAGTATACCACAAACACACATACACACACGCATATATATATATACATATATCTCAGAAGGTCAACAGAAAATCTTTGACTATGCCACAAGAATTTCAATTAGCCCGCCCCTTTGGTGGTGCCTTTTGTTAGCTGTTATGACAGACTGCGGCTATTGTTATGGCCAAGCTTGGCTTTTGGCTGCTGTGGGCCGCACTTGGGGCAGTTACAATTAAACGCCTGCCACTTGCCGATAATTTGCGGATTTAGACAATTTCTGCTGATTAAGCATTAATTTATATATATCTCGCAGTATCGCGCCACGCTTGGCCAGCAAATGGCAGCCGTAATGTGAATTGCATGTCGATCGGCATTAGACATTGTCAAGTGGCCAGCTGCAACAACAACAGCAATAGCAGCAGCAGCAGCAATAGTAACAACCATAACAAAAAGAAACACTCACGAATTGTCGTCACAACCAAATCAAGCACCTTGACCAATTTGCTAAAGTGAAAACTCAGATGGCGCATAGGCGATATGCTGCAACTGTGTCTTATAATTGTCTGTAAATGCTAGAGATATATTTCGAAAATAGATTTGAGAAATAAATATAAACGTTAATTCGCCCAGGAATTGTGACAAGAATTTGTATAGCATTTTCCATGCTCATATCGAAGCTGGCAGTTGGAAAGATTGACAGATAGATAGATAGATAGAACTGTCAGCTTCTCATATTAGCATGGTATCTAGAAATTCTTGCAAGCATTTGAAAGCTGCAGCGTATAACAGTTACTAAACTCTACACTTGCCGTATAACAATTGCCCCATTACTCATTCTTGTCAGCCAGTAGCAAAGATCGCCCACACTCAGATGCTAAATGCCGCGCCCACTGACTTCACATTAGCAACAGTAGCTGAGAAGCTGTGTGAATCTTATCTAGCAAGCAAAATCGTTGCTTTGAAACTAACTGATTAAAATAGTCGCTATATATGCCATCAATGAGAAAAATAGTAGATAATAGATATTGTAGTATAATGTAACGTAAATCTTTTACATTCCAAATTTGTAACTTATTATATGACTTTTTAAAATATCATACTATGTATAGACTATTTATAGCTAAAAAAAAAAAGAAGGAACGTTTAAATAGCTAAAAAATGTTTTAAAATTTGATGCAAAAAATATTTATTAAATTTTTAAAATTAGGTATACATATATATTTATAATTTTTCAAATTTAATTTAAATTTTTAAATTTTTTTATTATATTATTTTGAATATTTTTATTTATCAATTTTAAAAAACTTTAAAATGTTGAAAAAATATTTAAGTTTACAAAATGAAATTAATTAATTAATTAGAATTTACCATTGAAAAATAATGTACAAATTTTAATTCAAGTATTAAATTTTATCATTATAAAAATAAATAATTGAAACTAAACTAATTATTAAGAAAAAATTTAGAATGGGGCTTTGCATGATATTTCCTTTTGTTTTTTTTCGCACATCAAACATTTATCAAACATTTTTACATAAATACATACATCATATAATCATAACTACTTACAAACATACACCCACACACACACATATACATACACATGATTAATGCAACACAGAGTGGCAAATGTTCTTTTCGCTTCCTCACATTAACACCACACATCAGCCAGATGAAGGTCAATTCGTCGGTCGACTCTGCGACTCTCTCATTCGCTTATTAACAACTTTAGTATTATTTTGCAGATAATAAGTTGTTGATAAATTGCTTCAGCTTTTAATTATAACACAATTGGCAATTAACATTTAACCTGTGGCGGAAATTAAGCGCTCACAAATGCCACACAATGATTCGCACGCTAAGTGCAAATATTTGTCTGAAACGAGAACGAAATGTTGGTCTTTTCGCCTAGGAAGTAAGTTCTTAATTAGCTTGGGAAATTCGCAGACAAATGACAAAACTCTGAGCGCAACGAATGAGTCAAGCAACCAGTTGATTGAGTTTGTCTGCTTAGATATGCATGAAGATCAAAGCAAATGTCACAATGCCAAAAATTAATAATCAATAACGAGCGGAGACAACAAATATGCACGGCAATCGGGTCAATCAAAACCAATCAACCAATCAGCCTCACAAATGGCCAATAAACAAGGCTTCATCTTTAAAATAAAAAAAAAATTAATAAATACAATATATACAATATATTTATTTATAAATCTTTTTTTTTTTTGGCAATTAACTGACGTGTGTTCATTTTTTTTGTAATTTGTTAAACAAAAGTCAAAAATGTATTTTTAATAATAATTACACAGAGAGAGATAGACAAAGAGGTTACCCAAGCAGCTAGCCAATAAAAGGTCAAACTGCAATGTCTGGGCCCGGCTTGGCCGACTTGGCCGTCTTGACCGACTTGTTATGGCCAAGTGCGAGTGCTGCACAGCAACAAAATAGAAAAATTGAAAAATTTTACAATTCATAAATAATATGTATGTAGAAAATGTTTGTGCCCGCTGACATTTTGAAGTGCAAAATGGCCAAAAAAAAAAAAGCTGAATTTCGTAAGCTCGCTGCAGCTGTTCGTCTGCAGCCATTTGACCGGTTAACCGGCTGCCCGGCTGCCTGGCTGCCCGGCTGCCCGCTCGGATAGGCTTCCGGCTTAGCTTTGACCTTAAACGGCTGAGAAAAATAGCAAAAAGCCGACTTGTAATTAAAAATCGACAGAAGATCTCCAAGACAGCTAAAGTTGTGCAATTCATCGTTTCGCGAAGTCTTTTAGCAAATTTATGGACATTTAATTAGTCCCGCCGAATAGTCGGTGCCATAAAATGTGCGTACGCCTTAAGACAGAGTCGCAGCGTAATTATTGACCGCATGCAACCTAATCAAATAGTTTAGACATTTTGTAGTCGCTTAACGATTGCCTAACAGCCGCATTATCGACACGATATGTCATACAGTGGATTGACTCCATTCAAAAAAAAAAAAAAAAAAAAAAATAAGAAGTTATAAATGAGTTGATTTAAGTGGTATATTTATGTATTTGCAAATTTTGATAAGTTTTGCTGGAAATAAAAAAGAAAACGTATATTACTTGGCAATTTAAATTTCGGCTCTAACGAAAGACTTAAGGCACAAACTTGTTACCAAGCATTTATGTTGAAAAATCTTAAAATTTATATTTTCCATATTTTTTGTTCAAGTTTTTTTTGCTATAGTTAGGTCATCTTCCGGTTGGTTTGGTACTTTGCATGTCTTGTATTTTTTAATAAAAGGCTTAAGGCACAAACTTGTTTATATATATACATATATATAATATTACATAGCTTCAAATGCAGATTTCCCCTCTAAGTCATTCTAGAATTTTATTATAAATAACATTCTAGTTCTCTAGGTTATTCTACAATTTTATTATTTATAAAATTTTAGTTCTTTCATATATTTATATTTTTGCTTTTATATGAGTTTTGCTGCAGATAAAAGATTTTTACTTTTGATTTAATGTTTATACTTTCCGGCTTATTTTATATTATATACAATACAAATTCAGATTTTAATTTATTTGCCTGAAATAATCAACATCCATATATATAATTCTTTAATCCTGGATTTTGTCTAATCTTATTATCTTTTGCTTTGAACAGCAGATTTTTTGATCAATTATTGCTCTATTGTAACCACAGTGCACAAAAGACTTAAGGCACAAACTTGCTAACAAGCACATTGCTCAAGCTGGCACCAAAATATGGCTCAGCGTGCTGTTGCTCTTGTTGTTGCTCTCATTGTTGTTGTTGTTGCACTGTAGGCTTATTTAATTATGGCGCAGCATATAAATTGGCACAGCTCTTGGCACGCACTATTTGCCGATGTTGTTGTTGTTGTTGTTGCTGTGCTGACTTAATTACATAAAAGAAACAACAACAGCAACAAAAATTACAGATAGCCCTGCCCTGCCCTGCCCTGCCTACCAAACCCACTTGGCACTGGATGCTGTGCGAAAAAGAAAACGCAAAAAATGAAACACTTCAAGCTGCGACCGTTAGGTTACCCGCTGGGTGGGGCAGTTGAAAGGGAAACAGAGTATCGGTATCGCCCCAATTTGGCCAAGGCACCTTGCCAAACACAGCTCCAGGCAAGCAAATAAACGGCTGGTTAATTTTTTTGAGAGATTGTCTGCGTGTTGAAATAGCAATAAATAAACTGAAAATTAAATTTGTATTTATGAGTGAGAACGTAGGGCTACTCTGGAGTAACGTATGCTGATTATAGGGCAATTGGCTGGCTCATTAATTGTCAGCTAGTTACAATTGGGTTAAGCAATTTGACATTGAAATATTCGCTTGACTGCGCGGATTCACACACACACATACATACACACACACCGACACAATCATCACAATATTCATGGCTAATTAGACGCACTCGACGCCCTGCAGGCCAACATCGTTTTGGGCGTTCGTTGTACAAATGTTCGGCAATTAGTTGCGCAAATACAACAAATTGATGACAATTACTTTGGCGCTGCGTTGGCGCCTGTTAATTGTTTAATATTAAATTACAAAGTGCATCGCACTGTGGCAAAGTGCGTTGAAATTAATCAACAGATGAAACGAGTTCAAGGACAAATCAAAAGACGTCAATCAACATCAGCCAGCTCCAGCCATCATAATTTTTCTGCCAGACCGACAGACCGACAGAGCGGGCAGAGCGGGCCTTTTGCAGCACTTTACAAATGGCCTGTGCCATTTGCTGATAAATAAAGCATTTTTGGGGCCAACTGCAAATAGTCAAGCTTGATTAATGCTAATTGCGCCAAATGTCAGACCAACATTTATTTTGTTTAAACAAATTATACAAAAGGTCGCACAGCAGATGCAACCTGGTTCTCCGACAGCGTTTGTCTACTAATTAACAGCCACATAAACGTATCAGACGGTGCACTCGAATGATCTTGGTTACCCCAAAGTGCTTTACACAGCCAAAAACTAGATTCAATTCAATTTCATGAAGCTTCTACGTGTGG